GAGGAGGCGGGCGGGGGTCGCCAGGTCGCGGCACGGAGAGGTTACCCCTCGCGCTCTCTCCTGCCCGGGCGGCTTCGGGCAGCGCCGGCTCCTCTGCCCTGCAGAGCCTGCCCGGAGTGCAGTCCCGGCTTCAGAATCGAGAGTGGCAGGCGGCCCAACCAGCCCCCCCGGAAAAGGGTCGACGGGATTTCATGAAGCATTTTTAATTATTATTTCATTTGGAAAGTCTTAACTCGATGCGTGCTATCAAGGAAGCAGAGTTATCTGCATATTACAAAATGCCTGAAGTAAGCGCAGTGTTAGTTCAGACCTCTTCTACAGATGCATTAATAAAATTTTCTGTGATCCTTTTGTTTTGACACTGCTCTTGTCCTGCATATGGATGGCACAGTTTTTTAAAAGTTTTTAGTGTGTGTCCATATGTCCATACTGACCATGCATGTTCAGATCCTGCCTCCAAAGAGAACAGCTTAATCCCTCGTGAGCTTTTTTACACATATGTAAGCATGAAAAAACAAATACTGCATTACAGTGTAAAATATCATAATGTAAACACATTCTTGTTGTACTGCATGGAATATTTTCCATAAAAATTCAGAATAATCTTAGAGTAACCCAGAAACTACAGAAATGTTTCTGTAAGGAAGCGCGGCATGGCGAACAGTTATGGTGGTGTGTTTTTATCAGATGCTCACTAGCATAAAAATCAGCGTTGGGTTTGAATGCGGACACAGCAAAGGAAAGGAAAGCAATCCCTGTGGCTTAGTCTGATAATCCTCTGAAAGTAAATTGGCCCTGCTCTAATCAACATAGTGGTTGGAAGAAAAGTGAAATCATTTCACTTCCAAAATAAATGCCGAATGCTAGAAGGTGCCCGTCTGTGTTTCAGTATATGCCTATTTCCTGTTCGACGTGTGTCTCTTGTGCTACTCATTCTGCCTTTTTTCACCAGGAAAAGAGAAAACCCAAGCCTGTTTAATTAATGAAGTTCAGTTTCACCTAGTGTGCCCTGCTGTGATAGTCCAAAATGTCACCTGCGCTGCCCTTTAGAGAAACTCTGCGGTTACATTATTTTTACCCATTTAAAACTGTTCCCTTTCTCGGTTTGGATGACAAAACCCTAAATGGTAGACAGAGGAATGCTCTAAAACACCCATCTTTCTCCTAGGAGTGTCACTTTGTTTTGAACCCGCCTTGTTTTAGAAATACTACTGCATTCTGTTCTAATTTTCCAGAGGCCCCTAATCTTCTTCCAGGCTCTTAATGATGTAGTTGATAATAGGATTGTTGGTATTAATTTGGAACAATAATGCCAGCTGCTTGCTTGGTGGCTATTGGCAGAGGGGTGACCTTGCAGGTCAGCTAAGCAGAACTGGAAGTGCTTTGATCTGATCTATACAGAGCTGGATCTGTCCACCCGAACGAGAGGAGCGAGTGAATTCTGTCTCCATGGGATGCTGATTCTTCTCCAGAGCGCACGGAGGACAGCATGGCAGTGGCTCTTGATGCAATCCTTGCGCGGATCAAGGATGTTTGTAAAAGAAACGGTTTGCTTATTCTCTCGGTGTTGTCGGTCACCATCGGCTGCCTGCTCGGATTCTTCCTGAGGACAAGGCGGCTCTCCCAGCAGGTATGTGTGCACGGCAGCGTAGCGCTGCAGGGAATGGACCAGATTTATGTAACTACAGACACAGCAACTCGTGGAACTTCGGGGTGGACTTTTGCTGATGAAAAGCGAGTTGACGTGTTTGTTTAATTTGTTTAATTTCATCCGTTTGCTAACCCACGCTGTTCTTTGGGTCTTTTCACTTGCACTATATAATACACTTGCAGAGGGTGCTGGTCTGTGGTGCCTAGTAAGTCTAGCATGAGCACGTTATAATGGTGCAAGTATGAATAATAATAGTGGGCATTTAAGCTGGGTGAAATGCAGCATCTAATACAGACCTGTTAAAAACTAGCAGTGCAATATATTCACTGAATTTTATATGACTTTGGAAAACGTCTGTCTAAAGAAAACACTGGTAATATTTTTCATCATCAGTCAGACGGACAGAGGTACAGATATTTATATTACACCAATGGTATTTTGCATTAATAAATTTGAGACTTCTCATCATTAGCAGACCGTGGTGTTGAAGTCACTTGGGGATCTCTCCTCCGGCATACTTCAACTAAGCTCTCTGCAGGTACTCGTTTGTTTCTGCTGTGTTGGTTGGCCAGAGTAGGCAGGGCAATATGCATTGCTGAATGCATTGTCTGAGCACAGAATAGAAATCTCAGTTTAAAAATATGGCACTCAGTAAATGCAACTAAACTAAACCAGTTCTATGCTCTGCTGCTGCTGACTGCTGCCTGAGCATCTTTAGTGTCCAAGCAGTAGCTTCATACACATCTAGGAAAACACACAAAGTGCAGAAGGAAGAGATTATTCAGGACAAGCTATTAACAGCAGTCCCCAAGAGATGGCACATTTCATTTTGTAAAGGAACAAACAATGGAGTGAGTTTTTGTTGAATTACAACACAATGTGTAATCCAATTAATTTTAAAATTCTCTTTTAAAGCCTGCTATCTTTTTCACCTTATATACCAAAGCTGCAGATTTTACCAGTGTTAGCTGATCTGCAGCTTTAGCAGGACGTATGAAGACAGATAGTCTTTAGCTCAAAACAATAAGCGTCTCTCCATGTATTTCTAGGAAATTAGTTATTTCCAGTTTCCTGGTGAGTTACTGATGAGGATGCTGAAAATGTTGATTCTCCCCCTGGTTGTCTCAAGGTAAGTGAGGACAATGATTGTTCCAGTAACTTGTGAGCTCTCCTAAATGAGACGTGTCATCACCACTCTTAGTTTTAACTGAATTCATGTGTCAAAGTGCCAGAAGCCTTACTGAGTGCTGTGCATTCGTATTTATAACGGAGCTATGAACATGTTCTTTTAATTCATAGGAACATTTCCACAGTACTTCATATAGGTATTTTTTGTGTTTTTTAAAATTTATGACTTCTTCTTTCCTTGTACTGGGAGGACTTTTTCCTTCAAGCTAACCAGAAGATAAATAACCCACCTTATCAAAAAGCCTACCTCAAATCTAAAAATAAGACACTGTACAAATAAGATGAGAAAGCATAGTTAAATTATCGTCTTCTCCAGCATTTTGAGAGGTGAGCTGCAGTATGATGAACATTGAAAAAACCCGTGTCTCTAGTGATCTAGTAACATGCCTGGCTTCAGCTGGCAGTGAAAGTGGTTTCTTAGTACAGTAAAGGCAGAACCTGCAACGGTGCCACTTCATCAGTGGCAGAATTAATGGTCTAGATCCTGCTGCTGAGGGGTGATGCATGGGAGCTGCCTTTGTAGTGGTCAGGCATAATTAGGGTAGCTGTCTCGCTCCTTTAAATTTGTCTGTCTGCTGACTGACTACAATCACAAACAAATAGCAGTTGCATGGCCAAAAGCGCTCTCATGTGCCCAACACTGAGTGAAGAGATAAGGAGAGATGGAGAGACACAAAGCTGATTTTACATTACTAGGTCTGTGAAAAAAATCTTGCAATAGTGGGTGCCTTTCCTTGAAGCTTCTGGAACTCAACAAATGTGCAAAACCTTTTCTTCCATTTTAAAAGAAATATAAGTTTCTGGACTTCAGACTTCTGAGAGCTGCTGAAAATTAACATAACCCACCATTCATTTGATTTTTAAATCTATCTTTACGTCCACCTTCTCACGGTTTTTCACAGACTGAAGCTGATTCATAGTGCTTGCATGCCTGGAGCTGGCCGTGGTACGACTACAAACTCGTACCTGGACCTGTCGCACACAGCTAGAGAACATCCAGACAAGATACAGCAGTACTTTTGAGAGGCAGAAGGGGAGTTTTCCAGAGAAACCAAGAATCTCAAATGAGGAAGTAATGTAGTAAGGACTGGAAAAGGTTGGAGCAGAGCCACATGCCCTTCCCTGAAATGTCTAGGTCTGTAGATCCCCCTGTGTTTTTAGCGATGGCAGAAGGAGCAGCACAGTAGGGAAGAGCTGCTCTGACACAGACTGTGATAGCTATGGGTTACGTACAGATGTGTCAGGAGTGACTCTCAGCCGCACTGTTTGAGCTGATGGACTCCATCCCCTGAGGAGGAAACAGAAGAAACTTAACAGATCTTCAAAGGGACTGACTCCCCTTGTGAGAGAGCATGAGCCCATCTCCGTGTATAACAGACTAACCGTTATTTGCTATTGCATACTGAAATATCAGGTTTTGCAAACAAGAAATACTCCAGATGTAATTACATTCTTGTGCAATCCTTTCTCTTTTCTTTTTTCTTTTCCAAGAAGCACAGTGTTTCCCACACATGTATTTCACAAAATCAACAAACCAGTGCTCTGTATTGTGGATTTGGAATATTCTCAGCCTGTCCTGCAGGCAATGGCATTTAAATTATCTTTTAAATTACTCTCTATTATTATTTACGTAAGCCAGGGATACTGCACCATGAAAAGAGCTCTAAATCTTACACTTCTCGTTGAAATTAATGCAAGTTTTTCCTTGAACTAACAAGAAAAAAAAATTACATGTAAAGAAAAGGAAAGGTGAGAAAGGAAGGTTTTAGAAGAGGCACAAAGTGCAAAATACCCTGTCTCCAAGTCCAGAGTTTCTCTTGAAGGGCTGTGGCAGAAGTAAAAGGGGTAAGTGTGTGGTGCAGAAGACTGATGATAACTAGAAAATCGTGCACTTAGAGGTCACTAGCACAAATCCAGCCTTAAATGGCTGAAAATGTGCACTATCCCTCTTTTGACCCGATAGTTTGAGAGTTAAAACAGGAACTTTGCAGACTGCAATGAGGATTGCGTTAGGAATGAGAAACTGATGGTGTAGCCAGGTATCTCTGAGTGGTGTTTATTTTAAAAGCTCCTTGAATGCAGAAGAAATCAGTCGTACAACAGGAGAGCGCTTCTTCAATGCACACCTCCTTGTTTTACCCAGCTCTGTCCCTGCACCTGGAAGTGCTGTATCCCATAGCTCCCTTACCTATTTCTGATCTCCGCTGTCACCTCTGGTCTTATTGTTTGTTTTCCCAGACAGAACAATCTTGAAAAAGCAACCACCAGTAAAACTAGCCTGTGGTTTGAGCCCTACGTGAGCTTCTGGTTTTGCTGTGATGTGGACCTTCATTAAGGATAGAGATGGATGTTATTTCAGTTACCTAGTTATATAAAGAAGCTTCATAGCATCATACAATGACTCTAAAAGAAGTATATATCAATTTTCCCCATCCTCTGTCTGAGGTTTACACACAGAATCAGAATCACAGAATCGCTCGGTTGGAAAAGCCCTCTGAGATCATCACGTCCAACCGTTCCTGTCTACCCCCTAAACCATATCCTTAAGTACCTCGTCTACCCGCTCTTTAAACACATCCAGGGATGGTGACTCCACCACCTCCCTGGGCAGCCTGTTCCAGCTTCTGACGACCCTCTCGGTAAAGAACTTCCTCCTTATCTCTAACCTGAACCTCCCTTGGCACAGCTTGGTGCCGTTTCCCCTTGTTCTATCCCCATCACCTGGGAGAAGAGCCCAGCACCCACCTCTCCACAAGCTCCCTTGAGGCAGTTGTAGGTGGGGATGAGGTCTCCCCTCAGCCTTCTCTTCTCCAGGCTAAACAACCCCAGTTTAGTTTAGCCCTGTTCATTCCTATTAGTATCTACCAAGTGTCTCATGTATAGAGTTTGCTCTTCTCAGTGATGAGAAGAGGTACCCACATAACAAATTACTGTGAGTTACTCTATTAGTAACACACAGAAAGAATTGCTGACAAGTAGTCTGAGAGTTTGTATCTGCCCTAGGAGTACTCAGTAAGGGAGTGTTACAAGATCAGATTTTAGACCCTGCAGTTGCCAGATGGACAGTACTTATTATATGTATAAACACAGGATACTACTTTTAAACCTGGGAGTGGGAATATTAAAGGAGCCAAATCTGGATTCACAGTTATTCATTTAACGTTTGCCTGAACGCTTACAGAAGTTGGACAGGGGCATCTCCTCAAAAAGCCTAAAAGGTTGACTGCAGGAGATCTGAAATTCTCTGAATCTCTCTGGGACAAAGACCTTGATCCTCATTTGGCAATTGCAATGCAAATGCTGTATTTTCTCCCTTACAAGCGAAAGGTTTCAGCAAATCCCCTAGGTTTTCAAACAGGCACACGCACACACGGCAGTGACAGCAGTGAATCTCTGTGCATCCTGCCCTGAGTCCTCTGACATGCTAAAAAGCGTGGGTCTAGGTGTTGAGACAGGTATCTGCTCTTCAGATCGCCCAAGGTGCTGGAGTTTGTCAAAGCATCTTTCTCTGCATCTACTGCGTTTGCCGGCGAGTGGGGGCTCAGTCTGTGCCGCACGGTGTAGCCAGGAGGTGGCTCTGTCCAGACAAGGAACAGGGAGTCACACCGGGGCAGGGAGGACCCGTTCGTCCGAGGCGTTCTCAAATAGCGCTGCCTACCCAGAAAATAAGAAAATATGTCCTCTTTTTCACAATGCTTCGTTATAAACTTACACACACACACACGGCGTATCCTTCACCTGCAGGTCGTGCTTCCAGAACAAGTTGGTTGGCAGAGATGCCTGCGCATCACTTGGGTTTCTCAGTTTCTTAAATGCTTCAAATAATCAGATCTGGTGTCAATGTCTTTGTGCTCTGCACGAAGCAAAAAACTGGGAGAGGAACAAGCGCTCCACTTTCCCGTTAGTATCTTCTCACATTTGCTAAAGATAATATAAACCCTGTGAGCAATCCAAGCCCACATAGGCGCTTGCTCGTCTCTCTGTGCCGTAACTCGCATGCTGTCACCTCTCTTCGAGGAGTCTGTCCTTTTGCCCATTCCCTGCCCCATCATCTCCATCTCAGGTTACCAGTTCTGTACTGATTGATTTCCAGTGGGCCAGAAACCTGATTTTCAGTTAAGCACAACTGCATTGAATTAAGTCTTTTGGGGAGGCTGTTACTGAAACCTGATCTGTTACAACCTGGTATCTTCTTGTGGCTGAGGTTGTGAAGAAGCTGCAAACTCTGAAAAATTTACCACCGCTGAGGGATTTATAATGCTGCTTCTGGACATGGACTCCTTCCAGTAGGCAGAGAACTTAACATTGTGGCATTTACCCCAGAAAGGAAATCCCAGTCCGCACCAAGTGCAGAGGTGCCAGTGAGCCCGCCGAGGAGAGGAGGTCTGGCTGCCAGCGCTGCGCAGTCCTGGCCATCTCTGTTCTGCAGAGATCTGAGCTGCCGCCTGCACCAGACCTCCTGCATCTTCAGAGGCTTCTCCCAAATGCGTGTGCTTTAGATATGTAAGGCAGCTTGGAGGAGAGGCAGGGCTAGCACCCTCTCGCTCTCATTTCAAGATAATTCTAGAAGTGCATAGATTATTTCTTTCCTGTATTCAGACACAGTTTCACAGACTTTACAGGAACCTAATTCTTGCTTTCAGTGCCTTCCATCCCCTCTGCATAAATTTGAGAGGAAAAATAATTAAAATGTTATGAGTGAGGGCTCTCACACACAGAGTTCGACTGTGTAAGTCTTGCTACTTCAGAGCAGCAGGCTAAAGCCAGAGTTACACAGGTTTACACCAGCCGAACCTGGTCAGTTCTCTTTGGCTTACATGTCTACCTATATGTGCAATAGAAAACAGCATCCTTTATTTCAACACCCTCCTCATTTACACGATTAAGCTTTTCTCTGGTAATAGATATAGTGCCCAGTTTTAGACTGTGATTAGCAGCAAGCACTGAGACTGCTTGTGGGAAAGAATTGTCAGGGCAGAACTGACCTGTTCAGCTCTCCAGCGTGCTTGTAACCCGTGACCATTCCTTTGAGAAAAAGCAGTTTGTTTTGTTTAAGCTTAGGATAAGGATTAAATTCTTTATGTATTTACCACTGTTTTCTAGACAATTAAGAAATAATGTTTTGCTCAAATAAATTTGATCCTTTTTCATGTGCAGAATCTGTTAAAAGATTGTTGCCTTTATAGTCAAATCTAAATAACTGATTTGACCTGTATTTTCTTAAATTCTAAAGCTCATTCTGCTAAGTGTCTTGTGCCTGATACAGGCAAGTGCATGCTAATGAAATTTTATATTTATTTAAAGGCTCGTTTGGGGATAGTAATAAATGTTTGTTACTGTTGGGGTTTTGATGCTGAATTAAACACGAGATGCTAAATATAGAACTGTCTTTCTTTAAGGGGATTCCTATCCATAATACCATCAGTTCTGGTAATCCCTCATCCTTCTGCTCAAATTCCTGAGTGGGTCATTCTTATTCATGCTGTTAAAGCCTGGTATTTAATTGGAAACTACGCCGTTACAGTACCTTTTTCCCCATATCATTTTTGTTCGCAGTTCTCTGATTTGGGGAACACATTGGCATTTTAGCATCCCGCTTAGTGAAAAATATTGCTCGGTCTGTGTTAATGGAATTCCGTCGTCATTCAGCCATACTGGGCCATACCAAAGTTTGCCTCTCAGGACCCATCGGTTACGTTTGAAGAGCTGACAGTTGTATAAACTGCACGAGAGGATGTGGGGATGCTCTGGCTGCAAGCAGATGTGAACCCCCTCAGCCCATGAGCCAAACGGGGCAGCCCCGTGCCAGCTCCACGCCGGAAGCCGCAGAGCCGCATTAGTGTGGCTTTGCACCCAAGCTGGTATGCGAAGGGCTAATGTGGCTCTGTGGCTTCCGGACCAGCCCTGGCTGCTCACAGCCAAGGCAGAGCAAGTTGAGGTCTGCCCGCAGTCGTCTGTGCAGACATACCCTAGATAACCTCACAGCAACAGGATATTCTTTGGGATTTTAGGGACCGTACAGA